TACAGGCGGGCACCCCGGGCCACCCATCCAGCGCCAGGGAGGCAATGGCAAAGCTGCTGCCACCGGTGAAGGGTGGCAGAGGCTGAGCGGGGCTTGGGGGTCATGGCTGGACCCCCCCCGACCTGCTCCTCTTACCCCCGAGTCATCGAAACACAGAATGGTTTGGGTGGGAAGGGACCTTAGATCATCCAGTTCTACCCCTCCTGCCCTGGGCAGGGCCACCTCCCCCCAGCCCAGGTTGCTCCAAGCCCCGTCCAACCTGGCCTTGACCACCTCCAGGGATGGGGCAGCCACAGCTTCTCGGGGCAACCTGCCCCAGGGGATCACCGCCCGCACAGGGGAGAATTTATTTCCAATATCTCATCTAAATCTCCCTTCTTCCAGTTTGAAACCATTCCCCCTCGTCCTACCACCACATGCCCTTGTAAAAAGTCCCTCCCCAGCTCTCCTGGAGCCCCTTTAGGCACTGCAAGGGGCTCTGAGGTCTCCCCGGAGCCTTCTCTCCTCCAGGCTGAACCCCCCCAACTCTCCCAGCCTCTCCTCATGGAAATTGAGCTCCCCTGGGGTAGCCTGGGTGGGAGAAGGGGGTATAGATAAAATGTTGGCTTTGACAGGTAAGAACACCCCCACTTGCCCGCAACAGCTCACGTGTCTCTGCCGTGCCAGAAACGCGGGATGAGCAGACGCGGTGGCTGAGCGGGAGCCTCCGGGCAGGTCGGGAGCAGCTCTACTGCCCACAGATGCTGTGGATGGACAGACAGCCCCCGGGACAGACACCCCGAAAGAAATTACTTTTCTGCAGGCGAAGCTCCCAGCTCCGGGCAGAGCCCCTGGGGCGGGAGGGATGGTCGGAGCGGAGTCACGGAGGATGCGTCTGCCTTGGGGCAGGGAGGAGGAAACCTGATTAGGAGAGGGAGCAGAAGAGGGAAAGCAGGAAGGAGAAGTCAGGGGAAGCGGCTGCTTATCTGGCCCTACCATAAAGGCCACCAGAACAGCCCTATAGAATGCCACCATGGCTACAATGCCACCATCGCGACCTTTCCGACAAACTCCTGCTTCCACTCTTAACCCCCCAAAACCTGGCATTACTCCTTGCATCAAGCTCGTGGGAGCAGGCGAGATGGGAACCACCACCAATGGCTTCACCCTCCCACTGCCCCACGGCCCCGAGACGGGCGATGCTCTGCCGAGCCCCGGAGGGCAGCGGGGTGGGCAGGAGAGCTCCCTCCAGCCCGGGCAGGCACCGGCGCTCCCCGCCAGGAGGAAAACGGGCCAAGAGGCAGCGGGGGCAATAGCCAGAGTACTGCAAACCCTCCTTCGGGGGGGGACGCTGAAGAAGGAATGTTACTAACTTGAAAACAGAAATAAGATGCCTTTCGCCGGGAGCGTTAACACGGCACTTCCTCTCTGCAGTGACTTTCCCTGCTTATTTTTAGGATGAGGGCTTATTTAAGGAAGCCTCATGGGAAAAGCTCAGCTCAGCCGCCCCGTCTATTCCTAAGGAGCCACCGTTGCTCCCCCATTTTCAGCAGCAAAGTCGCCCTCTTCCCAGCTGGAACGAAGGGCTGACATTTACCTTCCTCCTTTCCTTCTCGCAGCACAGCCAGCGGCAGCCTGGGCTCCCTTCTCTTCCTTCAAGACGGTGGTTTTCAAAGCAGTGTCTCCTCTGTCTCGGGCGGCCCCGCAGCGCGGGCGGGAGAAGTTCCCTGTCTGCCGACGGGAGGAGAAGCGGAGAAGTGACAGAGAGGAGATGCAGCAGCCGAGTGCGGCCGAGGGGAGGAGAGGGGGGGATGAGAACGTGAATTTTCTGCCAAAAGAAATGAGAGCCAGAAACATCGCGTGGAGGGAGAGGGCAGGGTGAGACGGGAAGGAACAGCTCTTCCCACGCCTGACAGCGTTTGTGCCTTGGCAGGGGATCGATCATTGCTCAACCTGTATCTCCTCTGTCCCCATGCTTTCCCCACTCTTCTGTGATGAGGACACCTATGGAAGCATCAGCTGTCCCGGCAGATGAAACCCGAAAGGGAAGTTTGCAGCCTGGGCGCTGGTCGATGAGGGCCAGCGGGTGGGTTTCACCTTGGCTCCCCACGCAGACCTCTCAGCTGCTCCATCACAGCATCTTCCCAATGACCACGTCCTCAGCGTGGCCGGGCATGGGCAGGCTGGGCCAGGCCCCCGGCTGCCCTCCACAGCCACCACGGGTCTGAGGGACCACAGGGGACCCTGCAAAGCTCCGGCATTGAAGAGGTCACTGACCTCTCCGCCTGTCCTCCCAGCAGAGGGGCTCCAGCCCTCCCAGCATCTCCGTGCCCTCCTCTGGCCCCGCTCCAACAGCTCCGTGTCCTTCTGCTGGTGGGACCCCCCGAGCTGGAGGCAGCACTGCAGGGGGGTCTCCCCAGAGCAGAGCGCAGCAGAGGGGCAGTATCACCCCATCTTTGTCACCAGGTATGAACTGGTGTTGCTGTGCTGCACCAGCCGTCCACCCCAAACACTGCCATAATCAGCAAACTCCATCTGCTTTGAGGAAAGGAGGAGGAGGAATTCACTGCCTGTTGAGAAAAACACCAGAAGTGGCTGGAGAGGAAGCAGGGAGAGTTTCGTAGCCATTTGCTGCTGATCATTTGCCAGCCCAATCTATGTGAGCACTCTGGAAATGTACCAGGAGGACAGCGAAGCCCCGTGTCGGCCGAGGACTTGGGATGGAGCACCTCCCTTCCCGTAGCAGCCAACGTAAGCCGGGTGACAAAAAGCAAGCAGCAGGACCAAGATTTGCCCATAAAAAAAAGTTTATTCCTTAAAAATACAACGTTCACCTGCAGTGACACAACTATTCAGAACATTTCTCCAGAAGGGTTGTCATCCGCATCCAGTGTAGCAAAACTTCAGCATCTGGAGCCAGGAGAGCGGGCAGCCCGGTCCCCACGGAAAGGTCCCTCTCACCCGTTCCCGCTGCCCACACCCGACCCAGCCGTGCACGGGGCCCTCGCCAAATCCTCCAGCGCCGTGAGGCACCCGCTCCCAGAGCTCTCTCTGGGGACAGAGAGGGTTTGGCACCACCAGCGGCATCCCACTCGGCTCCTCACTGTCCAGGGAGCCCATCTGCAGAACGGATTTCTCCTGGTGGCAAAGAGCACACAAAGGTTCCGGGAAAGCTCAGTCCCTCTGGAAAGGCCTCGGTAAAGAAAGCCTGGAGGGGGGAAGAAGCAGGACCCAGCACCCAACCGGCCCTTCCTTGCTTTTCCGGCACAGAGCCATCGCTCCGTAGGTCCCGGCTCCGCTCCCCCCCGCTGCCCCACGGAACAACCCACCCGGTCTCAGCCCGCCTCGGAGGAGCTCCCCCCAGCCACACCAGCTCCCACAGGACGGGTCTCCCGCTGGCTGACGGCCTGTCCGAACCACAGCTCCCCCGGCGCCCCGCAGCCGACGCTCTGGAGGAGCGGAGCCTGACGACTCCTTCCGCGTTTCGGGTCCAACGCAGCCACCGCGCCCCGCTCATCCCGCCGAGCTCCTCTGGACGCAGAGTCAAGGACATGCCTTGCCCGACTCCTGCGTGCTCCGACCACGTCTGCCCGCCGGGCTCTGAACCAGGCCACTTTCCTGAAGTTTCCTTCCTCATTTTCCTAAGGAGCGGTGTCCGCTGAGCGCAGGCTCCCCTGTCCCCTCTCCACCCGGCTGAACGCGGTGACTGAAGGGTTGGGGCCACGGTGACAAGTTCCCGCCCAGCGCAGCAGATGCGCCTCCTCCGTGACCACCCCACCTTCCCAGGTCTGTCACAGGTACGAGGTTCTGTGAGCAGAACTAACGAAGACGAGGACGATGGTTCATCTGGAGGTGTCGCCGAGGTTAAGCCGGCCTATGCCCTGCACCAAAACTGCTGCCAGAAAGAAAAATAGACGGGTCGTTGTCATAGGAGACTTCCTTCTGAGGGGAACAGAAGTCCCCATATGCCAACTGGACCCACTCCTTCAGGACGTCTGCTGCCTCCCTGGGCCGGGGCTAAAGATGTGAAGAGAAAACTTCCCACCCTGGTACGGCCCTCGGGTCACTGTCCATCACTGATTGTTCAGGCCGGCGGGGATGAAGTTGCAGTAAGGCGGCCAAGGGCAAACAAGAGAGACTTCAGCGCCTTGGGACGACTGGTGAAGGGACCAGGAGCACAAGTCGTGTTCTCAGCTGTGGGAACGATGAGGGGAGAAGCAGGAGGAGCCAGCACACCAGTACCCAGCTCCAGGCCTGGTGTCACTGGCAGAATTTGAGGGTTTTTTGATCATGGGTCAGTCTACACGCCACCAGGGCAGCCGGCGACAGGCAGGGTACGCCTGCCTCAGAGGGGGAAAGAGCTTTGTAGAGGAGTTAGCAGGGCTCGTTGAAAGAGCCTTCAACTAGATTTGAAGGGGCAAAGGGATAACACCAGGCTCGCTAGGGACAGGTCTGGGGCGACACATCAACATTTGGGGGACAGTGTGCTAACGAGGGCCTTCGGTCTGCTCCACCATGTGCTGAGTACGCTGGAGCACATCTGAAACGTCCCTGCAGCAATGCGTGCAGAGCCTTCGCCATCTCGGTGGGGGCAGAGGACGAAGATCCGCGCAGCAGCAAAGAGGCAGGGGTCACTGATGTGTTAGAAACCACAGAAGCGCCTGAGAACAGTCACAGAGGAATTAGGGCTTCTCCCCCAGAAAAGGTCGTGGGATCAACAGCCCAACTGAAGCGCACGACAGCAATGCCGCAGCACGGGCGGCACGCAGCGGGAGCGGGAAGCCGGTGGGGGCAGAGGACGAAGATCCGCGCAGCAGCAAAGAGGCAGGGGTCACTGATGTGTTAGAAACCACAGAAGCGCCTGAGAACAGTCACAGAGGAATTAGGGCTTCTCCCCCAGAAAAGGTCGTGGGATCAACAGCCCAACTGAAGCGCACGACAGCAATGCCGCAGCACGGGCGGCACGCAGCGGGAGCGGGAAGCCACCGCGCGGCTGCAAAACTACAGCACAGTCCCCACCACAGAACTGGCGGGCTGACTCGCACAACCGGAGTGCCGCAAGGGCGGGCAAGAAAGTCTTCAGCCGGGACAGGCGAGGAAGGAGGGGCGGTGGGTGGCCTCGTGTGTTGGGGGGTGTTTTGACTGTCTTGAGGTTGACGATGCAGTTGGTGGCCGGTGACAAGTGGTGTTCCCCAGGGCTCGGCGTTGGGGCCGGTTCTGTTTAATGTCTCTATCGAGGATGGGGAGGAGGGGATCGGGCGCACCCTCACTGAGTTTGCAGAGGACACCAAGTACGGTGGGAGTGCGGATCTGGTGGAGGGAAGGAAGGCTCAGCAGAGGGCTCTGGACAGGCTGGATCGGGGGGCCGAGGCATTTTGCCCCACATCTTACCAACCTTCCGCAGAGGGCTGGGGAGGAGCCGGGCGGTTACTGAGAACAGGAGGAACAGCCTTTGGGAAGATTCAGGAGGAGAAAAGCCTGTGCTGCTTGAAGCAATTCCAGAAGCTCTGTCTCCAAAGAAAGGTGGGTGGACAAATTTGGTGGTAAGTCAGTACTAAGATAGAGGACTGATGTGGGCTCTGCTCCACCCAGATCAACAGAAAATTAAATACCCTTCCCACGTAAAAAATTATTTACGGACTGACTCTGCAACGCACAGACCATCAGCAGCACGGCCAGAATCACACTCAGCTCCTACAGACACTGCCTTCATCTTAGCTTATTGTTCAACCATTAGTAGAGAACATAGCATGAAAAAGAACCAATTGTTTGGCTCAGAGAACTCTGAGCCATCTAAATCTTCTTCTGGTTAAACATACCTCAGTTTTTAATCATAGAAATATCTAAAAAATGCCTTTTTTCCCCCTTTTAGTGGTTCTAGAAACCAGAAAAATGCCTCTTTGTTGTTGCTTCAGAGGACAGTCTATGGCTGCTCCTACCAGTAAAACGAAGGTACAGGATGAGAGATTTGGGCACACAGAACACATAGAACATTGGCAAAACATACAGTGAACACGCTGTGCTTAAAAATATCAGACATGGACTTTTTTCACAAAATATATTGAACAGCACTTGCCCGTTAACAAATAACCAATCAAAGAAGGTACAGAACTTGAAGTTTCTTCCAGTGCTGCTCTGGACTTACAGTTTCACTGACATATTATCCCACCCGAGTCCGTGATGCGTGCAAGATAATCATCATGAACAGAGGTAAGAGGCATCCCAGGTTCTCCTGGCGTACATATCCTGCTGTCGTTTTCAGCGTGAAGTCGAAGCTCAAGTCATTTTCAGTCCATCAAAGCCACAAAACTTCCACCTTTTCTCCAGGCTGGCCCCAACCCCGCTCAGCTCCTGCCGGAACGTGTTCTGGAGTCGAGTCATGAGAACTTCCACTTCCGCAGTGCAAATCTGTGGAAGCAGAAGGAAAAGATCACTAAAAATGAAGACGTTTTTGGTTACAGAAGCCCTGTAATGACTGGCAATATTCGAGCTCAAACAGATTTAATTGCTGAAGTACACCGAGGCTTTCCCAGGACGTCCTGTCCACATACGGCAGTAATCTTGGGACAGCACGAGTTGTGCTGCTGCCACACTTCGGGGCGAGGTGGCTGCAGATACAACACTAGAAATAAGGGTAAAAGGACTGTCCTACTTTTTTTCCACTGTGAAATGCAAGATAATGGATTAAAAACTCCCCGGCATTTAAGTGACTGAACAGTGAGTACTTTCACTAGAGCTCTCCGTTACCGGGTACAGAAATCAGGGACGTGGGGAACTTACATTCTCGGTCTGGACAGTCACAAGCATTCAGCAGCAGCGCAGCTACTGTGTCCCTGTCAGCACAGGAGCTGCTCGAACAGAGCTCAGATCCACCATCTGGAGGTTCCGTCGCTGCAGAAAAGGAACCTAAATACCTAAAGCGGACAGGTCTGCTGGAGCGGGTGAGAGCGAAGGCTTGTCAAGGCAGCCTCCGGCTTCAGGTCCTGCCCCTGGTGGGCAACGATCCACCCAGCTCCTGCCCCCAACCAGCCCAGGGCGCTGGCACAGCCCCGGGGATGTCACCCACCCTGCCGCCTTTCGAGATGACTGCTGGTCCTGTCTTCAGGAAGCGCTCTCCGCAGCAGCTTTTTAAGTTCTGGTAACACGGCAAGCGGTAGGAAGCATGACGTGCCCATGGTTTTCTCACGCAGCTTGAATCTTACTTCTAAACCCCCAGGCAAAGTGACGGGTTTTCCCAACGCCGTGCCCGGGAAGCGCTGAAGCTCAAGCCTCTCTGGTGTTGTCATGGGGATGAAGTGAGGCACGTACCTGCCAGCATCACTACCCAGTCCCACACCCGCCATACAATCTGCGCCAGAAGTCCATCGCACACAGGCGGCAGAGCCGTAAATCTGACTGCTCAGGCATTTACTAGCTGTAACTAAAGTTCAGTAAGTGAAAAAACTTTTAAGATGCTGCAGGTTAACAGTTTCAGGACATCTAAAGAGCGCATCGGCCGTGTCCACCTTACACTTAACGGCCTGCAATGGTTTTCCTACGGCAGCAGCAGAATTAAAACCTTGTTTGATGTATTCGCAAGAATTCAAGATTGTTTCCGCTGTGTATTTGGGACTGTTTTGACACACGTTCAGAGCTACGTCTGCACAATGACCTCATCCACCTGCTGGCTAGGTAGAGCACTAGGATGCATTTTTGGATAAAAACATGGACATTTTCCAACAGTGCAGTGCAACGTGATATCTTTTGTACATGTTCCGTTGATCTACCACAGCCGCTGTCCCTATTTTCAACTCCCTCCACAGTCTGCGGAGTCGGTAGCTCTGTAGTCGCAGCACTGCGAGCTCCCAGGGACCGCGCTTTAAGCCGGGCGCGTACCGACCACGCACCTCAGTGGTGCTTCTCCTGCTGATGCTGCGTTTCCACCCCTGCCACGGTGGACTCAGCTCAACTGCTGTGCAGTGTCAAGCCGGATCCCACTCCGTGGTCTCAAATACAAGGCATAACTGGATTTTCCCGCAGATAATCTTGAGTCACCATCCTTCCAAACTCATGTTGGACTCTGACCTTCTCAAGGAGGCATGAC